CACATGCTAAAAGCAAATGCTAAAGGCGAAATGTGAAAGCCAATGCTAAAAACAAATGCAAAAATCCAATGCTAGAACCCAATGCTAAAATCCCAATGCTAAAATCCAATGCTAACGGCGCCGAACTCTTGCGCGCCGATATCCACGGCGCCGAAGTCATGCGGATACCACGGCAAGGGGCTAAAATCCAATGCCAAAGTCCAATGCGAAACTCCAAGGCTAAAACCCCATGCTAAGAACCAATGTTAAAAGCCAATGCTAAAAGCAAATGCTAAGAGCCAACGCTAAAAGCAAATGCTAGAAGCCAATGCGAAAAGCCAAAGCGAAAAGCCAATGCCAAAATCCAATGCCAAATTCCAATGCTAAAACCCAATGCTAAATCCAATGCTAAAATCCAATGCTAACGGCGCCGAACTCTTGCGTGCCGAAACCCGCGGCGCCGAAGTCGTGCGGAAACCCCGGCAAGGTGCTAAAATCCAATACGAAAATCCAATGCTAAAATCCAATGCTGAAATCCAATGCGAAAATCCAATGCTAAAAGCCAGCGCTGAAAGCAAATGCTAAAAGCCAATGCTAAAAGCAAGTGCTAAGAGCCAATGCTAAAAGCCAATGCTAAAAGCCAGTGCTGAAATCTAATGGTAAAAGCCAATGCTAAAATCCCATGCTAAAATCAAATGTTAATATCGAATGCTAGCGGCGCCGAACTCTTGCGCGCCGAAGCCCGCGGCGCCGAAGTCATGCGGAAACCCCGGCAAGGTGCTCAAATCCAATGCTAAAGCCCAATGCTAAAATCCAATGCTAAAGCCCAATGCTAAAATCCAATGCTAAAAACCAATCCATAAAAGCCAATGCTAGAAGCCAATGCTAAAAGCCAATGCGAAAAGCGAGTACTAAAAACCAATCCGAAAAAAAAAAAAAACAAAAAAAAAAAAGAAAAAACACAACAAAAAAAAAAAAAATAAAAAATAAAAAAAAAAAAAACAAAATAGAAAAAAAAAAACCAAAAAAAAAAAACAAAAAAAAAAAAAAAGAAATCAAAAATAGAACAAAAAAAAAAAAAAGGCAAATGCTAAAATACAATGCTAAAACCCACTGCTTCAACCCAATGCTACAATCCAATGCAAGAATCCAGTGCTAACGGCGCCGAACTCTTGCGCGCCGAAACCCGCGGCGCCGAACTCATGCGGAAACCGCGGCAAGGGGCTAAAATCCAATGCTAAAATCCAATGCTAAAACCCAATGCTAAGATCCAATGCTAAAATCCAATGCTAAAAGCCAACGCTAAAAGCAAATGCTAAAAGCCAGTGCTAAAAGCCATTACCAAAAAACCAATGCCAAAAGCCAATGCGAAAAAGCCAATGCTGAAATCCAATGCCAAAAGCCAATGCTAAAACCCAATGCTACAGCCAATGCTCAAAGTCAGTGCTAACGGCGCCGAACTCTTGCGCGCCGAAACCCGCGGCGCCGAAGTCATGCGGAAACCCCGGCAAGGTGCTAAAATCCAATGCTAAAACTCAATGCTAAAATCCAATGCTAAAACCCAATGCTAAAACCCAATCCTAAAATCCAATGCTAAAATCCAATGCTCAAATCCAAAGCAAAAGCCCACTGCTAAAAGCCAATGCCGAAAGCAAATGCTAAAGTCCAATGCTAAAAGCCAATGCGAAAAGCCAATGCGAAAAGCCAGTGCTGTAACCCAATGCTAAAATCCAATGCTAAAATCCAATGCTAAAGCCCAATGCTAAAATCCAATGCTAACGGCGCCGAACACTTGCGCGCCGAAATCCGCGGCGCCGAAGTCGCGCGGAAACCGCGGCAAGGGGCTAAAATCCAATGCTAAAACCCAATGCTAAAATCCAATGCTGAAGTCCAATGCTAAACGAAGACCAGCACGGCACGGCAAGACCAGCACGGCGCAGCAAGACCAGCACGGCACGGCAAGACCAGCAGGGCACGGCAAGACCAGCACGGCACAGCAAGACCAGCACGGCACAGCAAGACCAGCACGGCGCAGCAAGAACAGCACGGCACAGTAAGACCAGCACGGCACGGCAAGACCAGCACGGCGCGGCAAGACCAACACGGCACGGCAAGACCAGCACGGCACCGCAAGACCAGCGCGGCACAGCAAGACCAGCACGGCCTCGCAAGACCAGCGCGGCACAGCAAGACCAACACGGCACAGCAGGACCAGCAAGGCACACGGCACGGCAAGACCAGCACGGCACCGCAAGACCAACGCGGCGCGGCTAGACCCAATTGCTGTGCCGTGCTGGCATTGTGGAGCCGTGCTGGTCTTGCTGTGCCGTGTTGGTCTTGCGGTGCCGTGCTGGTCTTGCTGTGCCGTGCTGGTCTTGCTGTGCCGTGCTGGTCTTGCAGTGCGTGCTGGTCTTGCGGTGCCGTGCTGGTCTTGCTGTGCCATGCTGGTCTTGCGGTGCCGTGCTGGTCTCGCTGTGCCGTGCTGGTCTTGCTGCGCCATGCTGGTCTTGCTGTGCCGTACTGGTCTCGCGGTGCCGTGCTGGTCTTGCCGTGCCGTGCTGGTCTTGCTGTGCCGTGCTGGTCCTGCTGTGCCGTGCTGGTCTTGCTGTGCCGTGCTGGTCTTGCTGCGCCGTGCTGGTCTTGCTGTGCCGTGCTGGTCTTGCCGTGCCGTGCTGGTCTTGCTGTGCCGTGCTTGTCTTGCCGTGCCGTGCTGGTCTTGCTGCGCCGTGCTGGTCTTGCTGCGCCGTGCTGGTCTTGTTGTGCCGTGCTGGTCTTCTTTTAGCATTAGATTTTAGCATTGGATTTTAGCATTGGATTTTAGCATTGGATTTTAGCATTGGATTTTAGCATTGGATTGTAGCAATGGATTTTAGCATTGGATTTGTATCATTGGATTTTAGCATTGGCTTTTAGCATTGGAGTTCAGCGTTGGATTTTAGCATTGGATTTTAGATTTGGATTTTAGCATTGGATTTTAGCACTGGGTTTTAGCATTGGCTTTTAGCATTGGCTTTTAGCATTGGCTTTTAGCATTTGGTTTTAGCATTGGCTTTTAGCATTGGCTTTTAGCATTTGGTTTTAGCATTTGCAGTACCGTGCACCGTGCACTCCATCGAGAACGCAACTGTGCACTTACTGCTGTGCACTTGCGACTTTAGCACTACACACTTACGGTTAACCGTGGCCTGCACGACGCTGAGGTATTTGGTGAAGTTTTCTGCGTACGTCTCCGCAAGTTCGTTTTCCCAGGCACACGCGAGGTCAAACCGCATGAAGAAGGAGTGCAAGTCCGCCGAGCCCCTTCCTGGCCTCTTGTTGTTCCCGCCCTCTTTCAGCTCCCTGATCCAGTCTGTGATGATGGCACCAGCGATGTCGTCCCGCCGGCCCTTCGAGTCTTCGAAGGTGTAGCCCACCAGCTGGTGCGCCTCGGGCATCTCCCGGGCCAGGAGGTGCAGGTAGACGGGGTAGAGCAGCTGCCTTGGGCCGCCGGCCAGGAAGGTGCCGCTCGCGTGCACGGCGAAGACGAAGAACTTGTCCTTGAAGTCAGACCCCCACTTCGTGTCGTCGATCGGCTGACAGCGCGTGTTCATGGGATTGCCCGGCAGCGGAATCCTCTGCCATCTATAATTTGCCATCAATACGTCCGTCTTCCCGCTGCTGCTCTCCAGCAGGATACACGGCCACCAGTGTCTGAGTATTCCCATCTTGTTTAGCGAGGAGTCCTGGGATAGCCTTGCCTTGATGTACATTCCCGACCGCTGCACACACTCAAGCCGTGGCTCGCCTTCCACCATTTTGAGCGTGAAATTCAAGTTCAAGCGGGGGAGCTGGATGAAGCTGATCTCGCGAGAGTCGTCAGGACTCTTAACGTTCACCGTGGAAGACCAAACCAAGACATTGCTCAGCAGTTCGATCCTTGCGAGCAGCCTTGCAACGCTCTCAAGCAACGAGCCCTTCGGCGGGTCCATCAGGTTCAGAAGAACTAGTGGCTTCGAGGCGGCCTGCAGCCCGGCGCAGCCGTCGGGGTCCTCCACGCGTCTCCAGGGCACTCGATAAATCTCTGTCTTGGCCTCCCATGTGCATGATAATGGCGGAGCCCATCCACCATCATGCGCCATGTTTTGCATGTGCATGATAATGGCGGAGCCCATCCACCAGGGCACGGCGGCTTGACTATACGAGGACAATACAGTCTTCTTGGGGTACCCCATGATGGCATTGGCCCCCCGGCGCCAGAAATCGTACCCGTCGAGCAGGCAGCCAGGGATGCTTCCCACCAGGTCGCGCTGGCAGAAGATCTCGACCTCCTTGCTTTCGGGCTGTGAGTCCTCTCTTTCGTAGCCCCGCGTTCTAAACGGCCTCAGTGGAAGCAGGCCCACAGGGAGAGCAGCCTGATCTTGGCCAAGCTTGTCAGCTTGCTTGCCCAGATCATCCTCAAGCACTTGATTCGACTGCAAGATCGACCGCTCGATGACAACCGACTCCTCGGGGGGCATCAGCATGCAACACGCGTTGTACAGATTCATGAAAGGGCTTCCCATGAAGAAGGGCATACCGCCGTCGGTATTCCGAGGATATGACGGTGGTGCGGCGTCTGAGTCACGCGGGGACGGTGAGTGCAATGATAACCTGAAGTTGCTCGTGCAAATTAGCCTGCGGATACCTCTTCGCCCAGAATCAAAAATGCCAAAAAACTTGATGACATCGAGAGTTTCAAAATACACAACTTGGACAAACTGCCCCTGAGCACCATCTGCAGGGCGGATATACATCAGATATCGTGGATTCCTCTCAATCGGCTCTTTGAAGATGAGTTTTTGAAGGTTCTTGTTGCGCTTGCCTTCTCTATCCCTAGGGTGCGTCCATCGGATTATCTGGAAGATGCGGGCCATTACGCTGTCTTTCACAGCTGCTTCTTCTTTGATATGTGTTTCCTGCATGCGTGTGTATGTTGTGTCCAAATATCTTAGCTTTGTGCCTTCCACCAGCTTTGGATAACCAGGCCACCCCTGCGTTGCGACCAAACTGAATGTATACTTGGTGAGCTCCACAGGCCCCCATGGCATGTGGTCCTTCCTCTTGGGGTTTTCCTTCATCTCTCCATGTCCAGGGTCAGTAAGATCGTCCCCCTCCTTGTAGCATAAAGCTGTCGAATTCCACTTCCGGACCATGTACGTCGACATCCTGCCCTCGGTGTTGTCCGCAATCTTGTACCAAACCCTGTTGGACGAATCCTCCACGACCGTGCACTGGGGCCGCAGTTTGTCGAACACTTGCTGAAACTCGTCCGTCATCACGAGCCCATTCGGCACCAGCAGGGGCGGCGTGTTGTCGAAGAAGACCTCACCCGTCTGCAGGCTGACCTGCTCCCTTTCAGTCTCGTCGGTGTAGAGCCCGTTGCTGCTCGCCTCCTGCATCGCCTTCGCCTCCGCGGTCAGCTGTGAGAAGCTGCGCATAAGACATCTCTTGGCTCTGTCCAGATTGTTGAACATCTTCGCGAGCGCAAGCCTGTAGACCAACGGATCGAGGTTCTCGGCAATATGCATCTCGCTAGCGTACTCCTCCAGCAGCTCGCAGCCATCCTCCCTCACGGGGGCCGACGCGCTGAACCTGAACCCCCACGCCTCGGAACCGACCGCCGCCTTTGCCCTGTAGCACACGGTGTCGGCGAACACGTTCAGGGCCTCCTTGCCAGCAATGCCAGGCCAGTCTCCGCTCATGGCGCTGCCCTTCATGATGCTGCACTTCGGAACAGCCTCGCGACAAGCAGCGTCTTTGTAGAACATGAGCTCGCTCTCTTCGTGCATGTCGGTGAAATCGTCGAAAATGATCGATATATACGGGGCGCCGGGGAAGCTTACCACGTCAACGGTGGTCGCCCCCCCCTTCATCGGATGATCCGAGTCAAAGGTCTGCTGGCAGATCGGATCGATGCTCTTCGTCGGCGACCACCTCGGGCCCCACTCGGGATCCAGGAGGCACGCGGTAAAGGCACGCCCGCGCGCCATCGTGACGGTCTGCGTCAGAAGCTGGTCGACCTTCCGTGTCCGATCCTCTGCCCAAACGAGCACCTTCGGGCGCGAACGAAACATGGACGCCTCCACCACGTAGGGCGTGTCTTGGCTAGACAGCCACGCTGCCGACAGCATGTGCTGGTATATCAGGTGCGAGTAGTTGTCGTAGGCTTTCTTCTCCTTGTCCTTGCCGCGGAGGGCCATCTGCTTCCCCACGCTGGCCGGTGTCTCCGCCATACTGACTTTCCACTCGGAGAGCGTCAGCAAAAGCCGCTGGAAGCGGTTCAGGTACGCCTGGCGGTTGGTGCCGTCCAAGTCGGGGTCGGCCTCCACCTGGGAGATGTACGTGTGCAGGTGCTGCACGCAGATAACCCCTAGCCACTCGACCATATCGTCGTACTCTTCCTTGCACTCCCCAAGGTGCAGGCCGTCTTGCCTGCACATCCGGGCCACCTCGCAGCCGACCCGGCAGAAGTACTCCACGAGCTTGATGGCTGCGGCCCTGTAGTTGTCCTTGGATTGCAAGCTGGCCCCTAAAAAAAAAAAAAAAAAAAAAAAACAAAAAAAAAATAGAAAAAAAACAAAGAAAAACAAAAAAAGAAAAAAAAAAGAAAAAGAAAAGAAAAAAAAAAAAAAAAAAAAAAAAAAAGAAAAAAAAAAAAAAAAATAAAAAAAAAAAAAAAAAAAAAAATAAAAAAAATAAAAACAAAAAAAAAAGAAAAAAAAAAAAAAAAAAAAAAAAAAAAAAAAAACACAAACAGAAAAGCTGGCCCCGTAAGCTATTCGATTCCAATTTGCGAGAAGCTCTTGCATGCAGGCCCCGGGCTCCTCGGAGAACCGGCCGTGCACCGTCCCAAACTTGGCTCGCGCCCGGTAGTACTCCGTGTACCGCCCCCAGACGTGCCTGTCCTCGTCTGCCTGCGTGCCCTTCTTCGGCTTCTCGGGCAGCTGCAGGGGCACGCTGAGGTCTCCAGACTCGGGGCCGAGGAAGATGGATTCCTGCTCCTTCTGCGTGAGGAACTCCCCTGGCTCGAACAGGGCCTTGTGGAAGACGGCCCGCAGGCTGTCCTGCAGCAGCTTGCCGTGGCGGTCCTGTGCGAACCACTGCACCAGCAGCGGGATGCAGAGCCTCGGGGCCGTGAGGATGCACTGCACGTGCTCCGCCTCCGCCATGGACAGCTGGTTGTCGTACCTCGCCAGGCTGTCCTGGTCGCAGGCGAGAACGTCAGCCTCGCAGATGGGCTTCGGCCTCGACAGCAGCCGGACCTGGACTTCCTTCTTCTTTGGCTTGAACTCCTCTGCCTGTTCTTCCTCGCCACCCTCTTTCTTCGTCTCTGGTGGTTCTTCCAAGTCATCCTTCGTCCCGATCACCGCAGCCGCCAATGTCTCGAATACGCTGAGGGCCCCCGTTGTGGTATCCGCTAAGCAGGATACGCAGGCATCCTCGCCTTGGTTCGCTATTTCCGGGGTGATCGCCCCAACCATGAGTCCCAGCCTGTCGGGCAAAATAAGCACCCACTTGGGCAGGATCAGGACGGGCCTGTAGGCTGTCTTGATCTTATCGCACTTATCCCGCATACCCCGTGAATTGCCCCCCTCCCTGTTGTCATCGGACGATGCAAGCCTGCAGTCCTCCAACACCAACCTGCACAGCCAGACCACGTCAGAGGCGTAAGTGATCTCCTCGTGCTTCTTCCAGGTGTGCCATGCCCACTGCTGCGCGGCGTGGTCGCGCTCCTCCCGCGCGAACCTGGCATTCTGGCCGGGGCCTCTCGTGGGGCCGACCTCGCCGCTGTAGGCGTCGCCGTCCTGCCCGCCGAGGTACTCGGGCCTGTCCGCGGTTGCATCCGTTGGATTGGGGATGTAGTGGCACACGCACGCCAGCATCATGCAGAGCGTGACGTCGTCCCTCTTGCCACTCTCGGTCATGGTGACTGGCAGGTTGGCCTCCGTGGCCGGCCGGTACTTCTCCAGAACCGGCTTCTTGGAGAGGCTGGGGCTGTAGACGCACGTTGACGACCTGTTGTCTGGGTTCCAGTCGAAGAGCAGCCACGGCCCCTCTGGAGTGTTCTTGTCGCTTGCATCCTTCTTGTTAAGAAACTGCTGCTTCGGAGGCCTCGCGAGCTTATCCACCACCCTGATGTACTCGAGCACCTTCGCACGGCACCTCAGCACGTCTGGGTTGCAGCACTCGAAATTGGCCATCAGCAGGTTGGCGTCCACGCCAGACAGCGACGAGGTCGAAAACCCGACCGGCACGCAGGCCTTGAAGTCGGGTTCCTTGCAGGGGTCCTCAAGGACGTTGCCACGGAGAATGTCAGCGAAGAGCATGTTGCTGGGAGACCTGGCCCGCAGGGACGCGTCCATCACGCAGACGATTGCCAGGAAAGTGGTCGCCGTTCTTGCGGCAAGACCATCGCCCATGAAGCTTTTCCGTCCCTCCAAGAGCACGGCCATGGCGTAGTGCTTGGCGATGATGTGGAGGTCCTGGAGCATGCGGTTCTGCAGCGTCTGGTGCTGGCCCATCCAGAGGCGGCGGTAGATGCACTTGGCCGGGTTGTCGCCCACGGTGTGCGACTTCACGCATACTATGGGCTGGACTGTACTCTCGCCGCTGGACTGTTTCAGTTTCTGGATGAGCATCGTCTTGCCTTGACGCTTGATGATGGTCACCCTCTCGCCTTTGCTGAAGCTCACGTGCTCGTCAAACACCACATCCTCCAGCATGGTGGAGTCGCCGGGAGGCTGCGGGAGCTCCCCCAGCCGCTCCAGGAAGCAGTGCTCCACGAGGGCCGCCAGCCTGTATCTCATCTTCTTCAGGCCCATGACGTTACCTTTGCTCTCGAGGTAGATGCACTTGGCCGCGCAGGCGTGGATGAGCTCCGTGATCTGGCTTTCTGGAGTCTTTGCTGCATCCTCCGGCACGCGCAGCTGCATGTCCACGAAGGAGCCGGATCCCGTCTCCATCACGGGGCCAGCCCACTGGTCGGTTCTCTCACGCTGGCACATGCCGTACAGGACCCAGGGGTTGCTCTTGGTCTTCGCTTCGTTCGTCAGCGCGAGCACGAAAAAACAACAAAACCAACAAAGCGCGAGCACGGGCGGAACGGTCTCGGTCTCGTTAATGTTCGTGATGATCTTCTCGGACATCGATTCCATCGTGCTCAGGACTTCTTTCAACTCCCGCGCGACGGCCTTGTCGCGCGAGCAGCAGCCGCGGAAGCCCTTCGTCATGACGTCCCTGGTGTATCTGCAGTACTCTTGAATGGTAACGCTGGCACCTTGATCGAACTCGGCTTGGCGCTGTTCCATCTCCTCGCGAAGGCGAGCTGCTCCGAGCAGGTCCATCTTCAGCAGCACCTCCCCGACCTCGTCCGCGGTGGCGTCGCCCGAGCGCAGGATGTACTCAACGACCCGCTCCACCGTGTTCCAGCGGCGCTCGATCGGCTCCTCGCCCTTCAGGCTCAGGCTCGACTCGAACTCGGGGGGCGCGGGCCCAGTCTGGTCGAGCTTCCGGTTCTCCACCATCTCCGTGCACTCGCTCAGGCACTTGCCCGCCAGGTGCGGGAGCAGCACCTCGTAGAAGGGAATAAGGTAGCTCTCACTCTTGACCAGGAGGTTCATCAGCTTCATGAACTCGTGAAGCACGGCCTCGTCCACGAGCTTGGCATCCGGAATGCCGGGGAACGTCATCACCGTCTTGCGGAGCACCTGCAAACTGCTGTCGAGGAAAAACGGATGGTAAACGTAGGGATCGTGTGGACCATGTTTTTCAAGGCTGCGGTTTATGATGGCGAGCTTGAACGTGCTCTCCATCAGCCCCTTCTCTCTCTCAATGATGACGATCACCGCACGAATAAGCGTGTCACCCTCCAGGTCCACCCCGCCAGAGAATATGATCTCGACGTCGCTGCTCCCCATGGACTTCAGACGCTTCATCAGCTTCGAGATCTCCCTCGCGGCGTCCTCGTCTGACTCGTTGTTCGACTCGCCGCCGCCTCCGCCTC